AAACATGAGTTTGCCTCCCCAGAGAGAATGGGGAAGATACTGTGCTGTGTAATATGGGGGCCGTGCTATGAATCCCAGGTCTATCTACCCTCATTTGAAAAAGGACAAATATGATCCCTTTTAATCGGCTTCCTCCATTCGGCTTTCTTCTTTCTCCAAAGAATGTGGCTAACATTGCTGGCAGGGCAGAGGTCTTGTCATGACTTCCATGTGTACAGCCTCTCTGTGTGGGACAGTGAGTCTGTCTGGTGGGGAATTGTAAACTGTCATGTTTTCTTAATCCATGTTGTTCATTATCTAGCCGGGGAGTGGCTGCATTTAGGAATTTAAGACCTCAGCAAGTGGTGTGAAGGGAGAATTTTCTGGCTCAAAGGATGCTGTGATGGTGGGTTTTGATTGTTGGCTCCAGAGGAGCTGGAGTCTCTGAGAGACAAGCTTCTGGGCATACCCGTAAGAGATTATTTAGATGAGGTAAGCCTCTAGACATGCCCGGGAGGGTTTGTCTAATTGAGGTGGGAGAAGCCGCACTAAAGGGGAGTGTCAGCTTCCCTGGACTTGCGCACTGGGTTACATCCAAAGGAAGAAGCTAGCCCAACACAAGCACTCATTGCTCTCCGCTTCCTGACGACCACCATGTGACTAGCCGCCTCATGCGGCTGCTACCAGGACTTTGCCTCCATGATGAGCTGACCCCTTGAACTCTGAGGCAAAAGAAATCCTTCCTTCCCTCAGCTGCTTTTGAGAGGGTGTTTACATAACGAAAACAGATGACGAACACCCAAACAAGTTGCTTGGGTAAGGGAATCCCATTTCCTGTGATCGGTAACAACAGTGTGCTGGGTCCCAACCAGGGCCCTGAGGTTCAAGTGTTGTTCTGTCCGGAGTCAGGGAGGCAGACCAAGTTGACCTGGTTCCTTCTAGTCTGGAGGGCCAAAGGAAAGTGTTCCTAATACGACTTAATACTGTCTCACCCCCCACCTCCATATTTCTCCTTAATTTGCACTTGCAATTTACAGTGGTTATAATGTGCTAACGGGCTTCCCTCCCACTAAAAACAAAAAAACAAACCACATGTGAGAGTGAGAATGTTCTCCTCGAGAAAAGACAGACTCTGGGGTTTTGCTTCTGACTCAAGGGCCTATGAGGTAGGTGTGATGAAACCTCCTCCGCAGCAGGCCAGGGTGCCGGCAGCTTCAGCAGGGTCAGCATCCTCCTCCTCTGAAGGGAGAGGGTGACGCTCAGCCACTTCGAGAGGGCAGGAGGTAACTGTAGTGATCCACCTGCAAATCAAGACACTAGGAGATTTCAGACCAGAGTTTATGTCCAGAGCCTGTTTGTCCTGTTTTGGCATCGAACTTGTTAGGACAAACGCAATCCAAGTTCATCCTTCTTGGGCAGACGATTATCCTTCCTGTTGTGCTTGATGGGAGAGGATACATCAGGAGGGCAGGAATGGGAAGGACCAATTAGGGCATGGGCATAGGTTGCCTGACCAGTACTCTGAGTAGCCAATATCAGTATAGTGTCCCTGGGTGAGGATTTAGAGAGGAGGATAGGAGGATGATGATGAAGGATGATGATGATGATGATGACAAGACCCAGGAGCTCATGTCATATTTTAAGCAGGAATGCCCTAGGTACCCCAGGAATTTACAGAGCATGACATGCAAGAATAAAATTCAGGAAGACTGAGCACAACAATGGTCCTCCCCTTTCCAGTACTTATTACTCTGACAATTTCATGTATATGTTTAATGTATTTTGGTCATTTTCATGTCCATTGTTACCCCCTCTTATTTCTCTCCTATGGCTGCTGCGCTCCTACTTTACCCAATACGTTCCCTTTCTAGTTCCACATCTTTTAAAAAATTGTAACCCATTAAATTTCATTAAGGCTACTTGCATGAGCAGGGTTGGGACGTTATTTACTGGAACTTGGCAGGGGTTCTGGCACTGGAGAAATGACTCCTTCTCCTGAAGTCAGCCTTTAGTAGTCCATAGCTTCAGGAAAATAAAGAAAACCTAGAGCTTTTTTGAGGCATCTACATCCTCCATGTGTCGCAACTATGGTTCCATGACTTTCCGCTGCAGCAAGGTGATTTCTATAAAGCTATGAAAGAGAGGCTAGACGTGTGTGTGTGTGTGTGGGGGAATGATCATGTCTTGAGAATTAAATTTAACAGCTTAAGTCTACCTATTAAAATTCATCAGCATGCGTGCTTTCTCAAATCATGATGACTTCATGGTCTAAGTGAAAATTTTGTATTCCTTTGGAAAATTAAATTAGCATATTCAAGGCTGCTGAAAATTATCTTTGACTGGTTGATGTTATTTCTATAGCATTCTTTGCCTAAGAAAATAGCGTCTCGGAGACTTAAGTTTGACAGCTCAGAGTAAGAGCCAACATCTGCCCAAGGCTTTCATCATCTCCAGAACTTTCTTAGGTGTCTTAATACTCTAATTCATTTAGTCTCCAGAAAAAACTCTGTCAGGTGATCCAGTGCTATGTCAAGACCTTTACTTCACAAATGAGGAATCGGGAGACTGAGAGACTGTGTGAGGTATCTGGGTTAGGAGTAGACTGTGGATCCAGCTAGTTGCTAACTACAAGATCTCTGTGTACTTGAACCTGTCCTATATTCCACCTCTCTGTCTGGGACAGACCATCTTGGACAGTGCTATTCTACTAGGCATCATTAGAATCATGATGTTATAAGAGATCTGTCTGGGGCACCAGAGTGCGAAAGAGGAATCCTACTTTCCATTAAGTATAAAATGGGTCATTAAGGTAGGTCACTTTTTGAATGTTGCTATTTGGAATTAGAAGCTAGGCAGAATCCCTGGGTTTGGAACTCATCTCTAGACAATAACAGTGATGGCGGCAGAAGCTGTTTGAAGTCCTTTGCGTTTCCCAAGTCAGAGAAAAGGATAGCAATCTCAGAAGGAAGGTTCTGTCATTCTTTCATTTCCTAGAAGAGGAACTGAAGGACCAGAAGGAGGCAGGAACACAGCTAGGAAAGGCAGAGCTGGAGCAGCCCAGGCTCTGGGCTTCGGCAAATCTGAAATATTTGTTCCTCTAGCACAACACAGGACTCAACAAGGGTTGGGATGAGGACAAATGAAGCTGAACATTGAGCTGCTCTCTGTGAGTGTGCCCTTGAAATAGGGGACACCATCTGTGCGTGTGCCCTTGAAACAGGGGACACTGTCTGTGAGTGTGCCCTTGAAACAGGGGACGCTGTCTGTGAGTGTGCCCTTGAAACAAAGGATGCCGTCTGTGAGTGTGCCCTTGAAACAGGGGACGATGTCTGTGAGTGTGCCCTTGAAACAAAGGATGCTGTCTGTGAGTGTGCCCTTGAAACAGGGGACACTGTCTGTGAGTGTGTCCTTGAAACAGGGGACGCTGTCTGTGAGTGTGCCTTTGAACCAGGAGACACCATTTGTGAGTATGCCCCAGAGTCAGGCCATGCAGAAGGTTAGTGGAGGCACTTTTCCTCTGGGTTCCTCTGAAGAGTGACAGGACAGGCAGTTTCTCCCAGAAGCATCTCCCAGTGTCCTCTGAGGAGTCCCCAATTCTTCCTGTAGCCACGACTTTCTATCACTAACTCGGACTTTTGAAACAAGGTGTGAATATTTTGTGCCTTCTGTACAGAGTTTGTAAGTCACCCAGTGTTTCAAGGTGGATCTTGCTCACTTCCCTCCAGTTTATGTTGTAAAGGTGTGAATGTGGCAGCAGGACCTACTGGAAGGGACTCACTGTCTTTCTAAGGAGGAGCATTAAGTCAAGTGATCAGATGCCTACTAAGGACAGTCTAAGTTCCCCAAGGAGGACTTGATCTCAGGGGTCCGAGTTCCTGCTGCTTGTCCATGTAGCTTGCCCTTCTTGCTTCAGGCCAGCAGAACAGTTGTTTTTAATGTAGTAGTGGTCAGGACAGGCCTTTGCCACATGACTCTACTCAGAGTCTTTTCTCCAACCTCTCGCCCTTCCAAACATCTGTTCATTTTCAGAATTACGTTCAGCTTTTGTCATCACCATCAAGTTTCTCTTTATCATCCTTCCCCAGTCTGTAACACTAACTGCTCTATTTTATGTCTTTTCACTGTATTCTGAATAAAACTCAAGTACAGTACCACGAGCATCACACGATCCATAAAACTAGTTGCTGAATACTTGATACACACCAAACACTTTATGCTGTGATCCCATATGATTCGTGCAGTTACCCTTGAAGAAGGGTCTACACCATGTGCACGGGTACCAATTAATGAAACAAAACTCAACATGATGAAGAACTTCCCTAAGTTCAATGGACAGTGTTTCCATTCATGAAACTAAGTATATGGAGAGCAAGGATACCCTTCCTGAGCCAGAGATTGAACAAAATGTATCAACGGTCAAGATGCATCCATTCTGCCCTTGGAGCTTGGCAGAGACTGCGGTGTTATTGCCAATAAGTTTGAACAAATGGATACCTACATTTTTGTTTTGTTTTGATAGTTTGAGACAAGGTCTTTCCATGTAGTGCAGGCTGGCCTCAAACTCTTGACTTCTCTGCCTCAACTTGCCCAGTTACTGCTGTTCTGTCCATGTGTCCTACACTCAGAGTGTAAAGAGATCATATAGGTGGTGAAAGTTGGAGCAGATTCACCGGGGAGCTGGACTCATGCTGAGTTGAGGCTGATGGTAGATGTGGGCAGAAGGGGAACTGCATGAAAAGAGGGTCGAAGTTCCTGGAATAATTAACCTGGACAACAGGATGGTTGCTTCGACTTCTGTAATGTCGTGTTTGCTCTGTAAATTCTCAAGTCAGGAAGGGTTTTTTTCCTAATTAGTGCCAGGAAACCATGATAAGACTCTTGGTATTTACTTTTGATAGCTCTGCCCACTTCCTCCATTGATCTCACACCTGCAGACTCAGGGTGGACCATTTTGCTTGCTGTGCCATTGATGACCATGAATCATCAGGTTCCCAGGCTCATTCAGTGGGTTTCCTTTGCAGGTGAACATGTTTGTGGAAGGGTTCCATGATGCCATCCTCCTCTATGTCCTGGCTTTACACGAAGTACTCAGAGCTGGCTACAGCAAGAAGGATGGAGGGAAAATCATCCAGCAGACCTGGAACAGGACTTTTGAAGGTAGGGATTCGGTTTCCATGGCAGCAACGCCGCAGCCAAGTGAGCCTCTGCTTCTGTGATTGCTTTCTGCAGCAACAATGACCCTTTCTGGAGACTCGCCTTTTCCAGGTTTAAAGCATGGAGAATAAGCCAACTCACTTCACAGGCTTGTAAAAATAAGATCAAACAGTGTAATGCATGTGAACATGCTTTGAGCAAATTTTACTTCATTAAAAACTGTTTCACTCCTTGTTTATTTAGACAATACTTATGCTACGGTGTGTGTGTGTGTGTGTGTGTGTGTGTGTGTGTGTGTGTGTGTGTTTGTGTGTGTGTGTCAGGTTTTATCGTTCTCTGACTTAGTTTTTGAGGCAGTGTCTCATTGAATCTGGAGCTCACTGTTTTGGCTAGATTGGCTGGGCAGCAAGCTCCGGAGACCTACCTGTTTCTGCTTCTGCCAGCACAAGGGTTGCAGATGTGAACCACTGTGCCCAGCTTTCCACATGGGGCTGAGAGTCAGAACTTGGATCATCATGCCTGTACAGTAAGCACTTTACCAACAGAGGCATCTCCATAGCCCTGTGTACTTAAAAAAAAAAAACCACATTTAACATAAGCTGTATTTACTGTAGAACAATCAGTGTGGAAGATCTGTAGTCAGGCTCAAAAGCGTGTTAATCCAGGTGTACATCCCCGTGTTTAGACCATGTCGGTTTCAGTGAAATGCAGAAGATGTTAGCTGTCATAGTCAACCTGGCAGTTAGAGCTGGTGAGAAGGTCCATGCCCTCTGCTTTTATTGACTTGCAAAGTAGTGAATATTAATTGCTGCTTAAAAACAAAAACAAAAGTAAAACAACAAAAACAGAAAAGTGTAATAATAAAAACAAAAAGCATATTATCTCATCATTCCAGCAACCTACGCTGACATTTAAAAGATGAGACTATTCTTGGCTAGAAAGCTTAAACAATATAAAAATGTAGAAAATAAAAAGTGAAAACTTCGCTTCGCACCTCCTTTCTCCAATGCAATCACTGTCAACAATTTTCGAGATGACGCCAGAGGTGTGCTATGCTTTCTGATAGCACACAATAATGAACACTCATAGATCTAACATATTTTAAAATGAGAGTTAAATGTGATTCTGATGTATAATAATTTCCTTAATTCTTTTTGTTTATTTGTTTCGAGGCAGGGTCTTACTACGCAGTTCTGGCTGACCTGGAACTTGCTTATATACATGAGACTGCTTTAAACACGAGACCCTCCTCCTGCCTCTGCCTCCTGAGTACTTGGATTACACCACCCTCAGCTTCTAATCTACCTTGGATTGGTGTTTCCTTCAGTTAGTTATAGTTTTTGTTATTCTGAAATATGGTGTCAAAGGCTCCTGCACACCTTGATGAGTTTTTGTGGGTATTTCTCACAGAGAACATTTCTAATGGTGAGGGATTTGGGTCTCAAAGTATGCTGGTGCTTTATAAAGTGTATTGAATATTGCCAATCTTCTTTTTCTTTTGATAGGCCTTGTTGATTCATCTACCACCCAAATGGCCTCTTTTAATTTTTTTTTTGGGATTATAGTCTGGTTATCCTTTGCTTTACGTCTAGTATCCACTTATGAGGGAGTATATACCATGTTTGTCCTTCTGGGTTTGGGTTACTTCACTCAGGATGATATTTTCTAGTTCCATCCATTTGCCTGCAAATTTCATGATGTCATTGTTTTTTACTGCTGAGTAGTACTTCATTGTGTATATGTACCACATTTCCTTTATCCATTCTTCAGTTGAGGGGCATTTAGGTTGTTTCCAGGTTTTGGCTATTACAAATAATGCTGCTATGAACATAGTTGAGCAGGTGTCCTTGTGATATGATTGAGCATTCCTTGGGTCTTGCCCAAGAGTGGTATCATTAGGTCTTGAGGTAGATTGATTCCCAGTTTTCTGAGGAACCATCATACTAATTTCCAAAGTGGCTGTACAAGTTTGCATTCTCACCAATAATTACAACATTTCTCCTTTTTCTTTCTTTCCTCCAAACTCTCATATATACTTCTTCTTGCTCTCCTTCACATTCATGGCCTCTTTCATTTTTCACTAGTTATTACTATATGCATATCTGTATATATCTATGTACTTATATGTATACACACACATATTCTTAAATATAACCTGTACAGTCAGTATAATGTTACTTGTAAGTATGTTTTCAGGGCTATTTGTCTAACATCTTATAGAAAATTCTGCTAATCTATATTTTTTGTCAATAGTGTATATAAGGGCAGCGTTGTTTTCCTTTTACCTCACCAACATTCCAAACTGGCACGAGCTGGTTCCTGGAGCATGCATCAATTTTCTATTCATTCGCCTGATACATTCAACAGGCATCTATGACATCCCAGGCACTGTTCAAGGAGCCGGGGATGAAGCAGTGAACACGGATAATCAGTTTATCTTACATGCAAATGTGTGTGTGTAGGAACAGGCAATATCCTCACCCCCACTGCAGGGCCTGTAAAAGGAAGCAGAGTAGGGAGACGAAAAGTGGTGGGGTGAGACTGCTGGGTTAGAGCTGTCAAGGAAAGGCCTCTGAACATGGCAGCTGATTGGGACCTGAGGATGACAGAAGTCATTTTAGGAGACTATGCCCCAGAGGAGGCAGCAAATGCATTGCAATCTGAGTGGATGTGGTAGGAGATTGTTCCCCGAGGAGCTGGGAGGTTTATGTGGTTGATTGACATCTGAATATATGGGGCGGTATGATGGGACCCAAAGTTCAAGATGCCCTGGGGCCAGACCCATGGACCTGGAAACCCGCTGAAACAGAAAGCCACTTTAGTTTCCATGGAGATGATATGTCTTATGGCTGCGCTGTAGCACATAACCTGTAGCATGCTGGCGAGCATCTTCTGAGAACTAGAAACACAGAGTGCAGACTGGGGAAACAGGAAGCAGGAGCCTGCATCCTCTAGTACCCTATTTGTTCCGTAGGGAGGTTGGGTAAGTTAAGTGAAGAGGGCCTTTTCAGTTTTGCATCATGCCAACTTGTCCCGTGAGCCCTTTAGTAGGTTGGAGTATACCTATACTTACTTGTAATCACACGAGTGAGACGTTTCAATGACGAGAACAAAGCCAAATCTGGATTTGAGAGAGGAGTACAGGATGGTCCCCTCTACACTCCATGGCCTCAGCTTGTCCTCAGATATTAAAAGGGAAGGATGGCAGGAAGGAGTGGAACTCTAGCTAGGGTTGTCTGGGTAGTAGCTGTGGTAGCTACTGGTAGGTTTCTTTTCTCTACAGTGGTTTCAGTGAGCACCATGTATTACTCTAGACAAGAGCGACAGCTTTCATTTTAGACAAGCAGTTGCTTGGGGTGGAAAACCTTCCCTGATGAACTTGTTTTGCCTCCTCCTGATTCAGCTGAGGGGCAGACATCAAATAGGGGGCATATTAGGACAAAGTCAAATTTCCCAGAATTGGTGCACAATACACCGAGAAACTGGTGTGTGGGACACAACCTTGGTCAGGCACATCCCATTCTTAGCTCTTACTCACTGCATGCTGTGGTCATTTGTTCTTGGTCTTCTGACAGCGGGACAGGAGCCAGAGTTGGGGATGAGGAGAGGCCCCACTGAGGGAGGTTGTTCAGAGAAGGGCAGGTGCCCACAACGGCTGGGATACAGCTTTGTTTAGAGCTAAGACAGGCGCTAAATTTTCTCATATGCCATCTTGATGGTTCCATCTGGGGGCCAGATCTACACAGTCAGTATGCACCAAGAGTATAAAAAAAATGTATAGTTGAGTCTAAAATTAGAGTCCTATATGTCCAAAATATAAAGATTGATGCCAAGGTGAGTTTGGATTTGAATGGTTCAGAGAGCCCATTTTATTTGCTAAGCAGCAGTCCATTTGGAGGGAGCCCCTCAAAGAAGTCTAAGGTGGATGTGTGAAGAAAAACTCAAACCTTCCTAACATTAAAAACAATTTTAATTTTAGTGGTGGCTGTAAGTGACCATTAAGTTGTGAGGAGAAAAAAATACCCTGGATGCTATTTGACAAAATTGGATTTTATTGCCATGAAACCTATGATCAGCTCTCAAGACTTTCAATAAATGGTCCAAGAAGAAGCTGTGTTTCCTCTCTGTGAGAGGTCGGAGGGACAGGGTAAACAGGACTGTGTGTGGCTCAGGACCCAAGCTCCAGTCTAGGCAAACAGAAACCAGGTTAGAAGGAGTCACTGCTGATATACAGGAAAATTCTGCTGTCTCCTAACAAGTTCACCTTCTGCTTTATACTCTCAGGTGAAGTCTCACTTTGCAAAGCAGCCACCCTGAGAGTTCTCACCCCATTTCTTGGCAGAATTGCAATAACTTAAAGGTGTAATGAGGTGTTGGATTACTAGGGCTACTGCATCTTATAAAACATTCTGCAAAACACTCAGCAGGACACACCTTCCTAAACACCTCGGAACAGAATGACAAGTGATTTTGGATAGCCACATGTTTGGAGAATGAATATGTATATGTATATGTATATGCATATGCATGTATATACATATATGTATTGGCATATGCACATTTACATATATATGTACACACACTATATATATAATTTGAAGTTTTATAGGTTCTCAAGGATGCACAAGTTTGTGATAGGTGCATCCTTTGTAACCTGCCTGTATTAAGAAGACAAAAAATGAAGATGAATGGTAACTCCATTCTGTTTCCAGCAAAGTAACCCAAAGTCTGGAAAAATCAGTGGACCTTCAAACCACAGCCCAAAGGACAGTAAACCCAAACGCCTGCCCTCTCCAAACCACACAAGAGGATGGAACTTTCCCTTGGGATGCTTCTCGGCAGACGCTCATTTTACAGGGGCAGTCATTACTTCTGGGGAGAACCAAACTGATGGCAGCATCAATTAAGAACGGCACAGACTTCTCCCACAAAGAAAACAAATGGCTTGTGTTAATTAGAACATGGCTGGTGCCCACTTCCTGCTACTTAGTGAAGGAAGACGCAAATACAGATGACTTAATATCGGCCATTGTTCTCTGGTGACCTTTTGGGGATTAGCTGCTGTGAGCACCCACCATCTCTGGTCAAGAGGGGTGGGTCCTTAGTGCTCTGGCTGCTCTGTCCCAGCCTCATATCTCACCAGCTCTGTTCATGAACATGGACCCTTTCATTAGAAACTTCACAGTTCTCTGGTTCTCTTTGCCTTAGGGTCTTGGTAAATTAAACCAAGCTAGTAACTTACACTCTTGATAGTGGTTTGAACCATAGGTACCCTTATAAGAGACTTTATAATCCTTGCTATTTTTAAAAAACGAATTCCAACCATTGTGCTGAGTTGTCCAAGTGGTCGAACCCAATCGATGCTTTCTCTCTACTGCAAGCACAGTAATGATAACGGAATCTTTAAAACAGCATCCTCCATCCCCTAATTTTAAGCTCAAAAATGCCTCCACACGGGAACATTTTACATGTCAAAATGAAAACACAAATGGAATGACTCCTCATAATGGATGTTTATCTCATGCAAAAAAATTACCAAAAGTACTATATTAAGATTACTTTCTGGCTATATGTGACAGTGTGTATAAAATGAAAGATCTTGTGTCCTATCCCCAAGAAGTCTCATTATGTGTATGAAGATATTAAAAAATTTGAAAACATCTGAAATCAGAAACATGTCTGGTCCCTAGTACCTGGGCTAAGGGCTCCTCAACCTGTAGGGATAAAAATAGCAGCAGTGACACCGGGAGAGGCAAACAGCTGGCGTTGCTTAAGCAGCTGGTGGAGATGCCCCACGTGTTTTCTCTCCTGCAATCATCTCTACCGCCTCTTGGGAGGAACCTGATCTTATGCCTGTTTATGGTAGTTGTAGAGACAGAGGCTCAGAGGACTAATGCCTTGGCCAAGGTCGCAGCGGTAGGGATAGACAAAACAACAATTCAGTATTCTGATTCTTTAAGAAAAGAAAAGAAAAGAAAAACAGTCCAAAATTATATTTTAAAATTATTTATTTATTTATTTATTTATTTATTTATTTATTTATTTATTTATTTTGTGTGTGTGTGTGTGTGTGTGTGTGTGTGTGTGTGTGTGTGTGTGTGTAATCAGAGGACAACTTTTGGGAGTCAATTTGCTCATTCTACCGTGTGGGTCCCAGAGATCAAACCTATGACCTATCTTCAGTTTGGTGGTAAGCATCTTCACCTACTTCTCTGGCCCCAACCCGTATGATTCAAATGGGAAAAGCTGAATCCTCAGTCCAGGCTCCTCCTTGAGCAAAGAGTCTGTCTGCTCTAACTTAACCTTTGCTACGTTGCTAATTCCTCACCCAGGAATCTTGCAGATAATGTTTGGATAAGCAATGAATGAACACACATTGGGCAATGAGTGAACACACATTGGGCAATGAAGAATTGCTCTTTAGACATTGGCTCCAGGGACCCACCAACTAGGCCTCCTGCTCTCCTGTGTATTAATGCAGCCTGTATGAAGCATGCTCAATGAATCCTGGGCCAGACTGATTTTCCTTATGAGAGTTGTCCAATGATCACATGAACATATATATGAGAACACATCTCTACTTCTCAGCTACTTTTTAGAAAAAAAACAAAAAAACAAAAAAACTCTGGAATAAGCACACTGCCTTCAGTATTAGCCTTAATCTGTTTTTTTTTTTAAAGTATTACCCAAAGATCATTTCTTTCTTTTTTAAATGGAGAAATGTTAAGAATTTAGGAATGCAGACACAGATGAAGTTACAATGTCTTTCCAAATGCCAACAAAAATGCTTCCAGTCTGATGTGATTCCCTGTGGCATGAATTTGTTTTAAAAAATCCCATCAATTCCTTTTCTTGGCAGGCAAAGTTACCGTAAGTAACTAACTAACGCAGAGTTCTTTACCTCTCCTGTAGGTATCGCTGGGCAGGTGTCCATAGATGCCAACGGGGATCGGTATGGGGACTTCTCTGTGGTTGCCATGACTGACATGGAAGCAGGCACCCAAGAGGTGAGCAAAGGAAATGCCTGTACTGGTCACTCTTGCAAGTGGGGACTCTGGGAGAGAGTGTCCTGGTGTCCAAAGCACCCTTCCAAGAAAAATGAGCCTTCCATGTCGAGAAAGCTTGCTGTGGATTGAGGGGACAGGCAGAAGGCAGGACACACTGCCATGTGTGTTCTCAGTAGAGAAGTCCTGCCTTCAAGCTGTCAAGAGGCACTCCTTAGCCCTGTGTAGTAAGGGCATCAGTGGACACGGGAAGTGCAACTTATTCGCCCCTTGCACTTCCAGATTTTTTTTCCCTAGTGGTTGTTACAAATTTTCAGGTGTTGTTTTATCAAAAGATGGAGTTTCAGGACAGAGAAGTCTGTTCTGGACTGAAGATGAGTCTGTGACAGTCACCAAGGGCAGGGGGTCTCTGCTTCAGTTTCTTCAGCTATAATATGTGAATCATAATATTGTCCTGGATGGTCTCATGACATCATCAGTACCACATGAAATGAAACCTAGAAAAGTAACACATGACCTTGAATTGACAAATAAAGAGAAAGAAGGAGATATTAAATAAATATTCAGTGTTTCTGCTGAAAAATACATTTTGATATTTGATAATGGTAATCATCCTGTTTCCTTGCAAGGTCATCACTCTTTTCAAAAATATTTTTTTTAAAAAATGTATTCTTTGTGTCTTTCACATCATGCATCTCAATTCCATTCATCTCCCCATCCCTTCATATCAGCCCTCTGTCCTCACACTCCCCCCAATAAAATAAAATAAAATAAAATAAAACAAGATAAAATTTAAGAGGAAAAAAAAAGAAGAATCTTGTCATGGAAGCTGTAGTGTGACACAGTGAATCACACAGTATATCCTTTTGTCATCATATTTTTACTTGCAAGTGTACATTGCAGAGTCTGGTTTGAGCATAAACTCTGGTTTATGCTACACCATCAAACTGGGACCTCACTGGGGTTCCTCTTGGATACCCTATTGTTGCCCTGTGTCCTGGAGGACTTGCAGCTTTGGATCTGCAGGGCATGTCTCTTCACGTGCTCCAGCAGATCATAAATGGGGTGGTTATTGAGGTGGGCCAACTCATAACTCTGTTTTTTTTTAGGCTTGGGTTTTAGGCAGGTTTGGTTAGCGCACCATCTACCCCTGCTTCCCCTCCCCCCATCCCCACCACCAGGGTGAGCTCTCAGGCATTGCTCCAGCTAGTTCATCCTATGCAGCAACAAGCAGGGGCCAGTTCTCCTCCTTTCATGCTCTCAGGGTAGGCTCACCCACACCTACATCATCAAGGCCAGCTCTACTGTGTTGCCCAGGCAAGGTGCCGGGACCCCTCTCCAGAGTGCTGCAGCTGGTGAGGGGCAGACACAGTTCTCCCACTTTAATGAAGATCATCAGGGTTGTTGCCTTTGTGGGCACTGGCATAAGATACCTGTTGTTTTCCTCTCTGTGGGGTGTGTCTAGCCTTTGTGGAGGGGGTGAGGGAGCAGGAACCCTCTAGCTATATCTCCCCAGTTCTAGGTCTTGTCTGAAGTCTAGTTTCCTCCTCTGGAGAAGGTGGCGAGTGATAGTCCATCTCACCTCATTGTGAGGTTGCAGTGCCCTTGGGATGTGCTCAAGCACATAACAGTCACTGTTATATTTTATGAAGACCTAGAATTGTTTTGACCCTGAGCCGATATAGCCTGTGCGAGACCCTGCTGTCTCTCAGTCAGGAGGGAGCAGAAATGTCACAGGCCACCCAGGAGCCACAAGTTTGTGTCTGGACAAAAGAAGAGAATCCCTAGAAACTGTGTGTGAGAAGACACTGTCAGATTGGCTCATGTGACTGATCTAACAGTCATTTAACTGGAGTGTGACCAATGACATCATGAATGAATGAGGATTTTCTAGGGGTCTAAGGTGACAGCTGAAACAGAGTTCAGTCTGGTAATGGCAGAGTACAAGAATTAAATTCATCAGAGACGAATGTGACCCCTAAGGACACAGCACTAACCAAAAGAGGCTCAACCAGAAAGCTCTTCAAAGACACAATTTTTAAAATTGTATGTATGTATGTATGTATGTATTTATTTAGTGTGTGTGTGTGTGTGTGTGTGTGTGTGTGTGTGTGTGTGTGTGTGTGTAGGTCAGAGGACAATTTGTAGGAGTTGATTATCTCATTCCAACACGTGGGTCCTGGGCATCAAATTCAGGTCTTAGGGCTTGGTGGCAAGGGCTTTCATCTCCGAAGCCATCTTTCTTTACATGATATTTTTCAGTGTTATAATTATATGTCAGTTTATGTACCTGTCATATGCTTAACCTAAGTGTGTATGCAGTAGCATTGACTCTGTTGCATATCCCTAAGGGAGAGGGGCCTTACACGTGGTTAACGGTGTGGACTGCTGTGTGGCAGAAGGCCAGACAGGGCCCTATGGAATGAGCCAGGACAAAGCTGTGAATTTGTGAATTTGTAGATTATTGTTTCATAGGGAAATGAAAAATCCACCCTTCCCACTATGCAGTAGCAACTGATGAGTAAATACCTAGGGACAACATTGGTAGGGTATAGCGTCCAGTGTAGACAGGCTTCAGGTGGCACTGTCTTTGTCTCGCCCACACCTTTTCAAGACTATATGACCCTGATTCTTCCGCTGCAGTGAGAAGCCTCTGTGATAGTCCGTGTGCACAGCGGGGGAGTCCCCCTCCCATCTCTCATGCTTTTATTTTTGAAGCGCTTGCTATCACTTCCTGCAGGTGGTGATGTGCAGAGGCAGCCTGGGTAGATCAGGCTGTGTTTTGGGGGAGCTCCTGCAAGGCTGTGAACTTTATGCCTCCTTTGGGAACACATACTTTTGGCCTTTCCTTTTGTACATCTGACTTTTGCCTTTCTGTAGGTTATTGGCGATTACTTTGGAAAAGAAGGCCGGTTCAAAATGCGATCCAATGTCAAATACCCTTGGGGCCCTTTGAAACTGAGAATAGACGAAACCAGAATTGTGGAGCATACCAATAGCTCTCCTTGCAAATCATGTAAGTTCAGAGACTTAATTCACTGTTCCTTCTCTTCTTTAATCCCAGGTTCATGTGAGTCTGACACATGTTGCTCTCAAGGACTCATGTTCTGAAAGCTCCTTGTCTTTTTCCGATGTCTTCAAACTCATGGGAACAACTTGCAAATGGCCACCCCGTCTCTTTTCCCAGAAGCATCCATCTTTCTTCCTTTTATTCTTTTCTTCTGAATGGTAGATTTTTTTTCTTCTGAAAGGGATTTATATTTCTTTCTACAATCTCTTAGTTATTAAAGGTTTTCACTTCAAGGAAAAATAAAAATATTAACTGTCTCTTATTCATCTACTGTAACAAATCTCATTGTTGATATCAAAGTTTACAGTTGACCTCCATATCCTCAGGATGGGATAGACAATGCTCTTAAACACCTGGCAGCTTACAAAGTGGCAAATAAAGATTGAATATATTATTTATGGCCAGTTTCTGGATGCAGAGAGAGAAGCAATTGTATCTTCCTCAGGGATAGGAACGTTTTCAGAGATGATTGTCTTTGAGGGGCTTTGGTAAACAGGAAGAAGAACAAGAGGTATCAATCTTGCAAGCTAGTTAGTGATTTTGAGTGAGTATATGAGTGGTCATTATGTCTCAGAACTGTCTTTCAATGATGAGGAATTTATATCTATGCAATAATTATAAGAAAGAATTAATGGAGAAATGTGTTGACCACATAGTCTCTCGTCCTGGATCCAAAATCTGACTTTGCTTCTTGCCTGTTTGGGGACCCCAGGAGAGTTCCTCCAACTCACCAAGCCTTGCTTTTCCCACTTATAAAGTGAAACGTACCCAGCTTTGATCTGAGGAGCCAACGAGACCCGAGAAGCCCATGAGACTGTGCCGTGCAGGCTTACTCTGAACTCTGCAAGGAGAGTAGCCGTTGATTTCTCTAGAACTGAGTTCCCAAAGAGAAGGGCTGATCCAAGTGGCTTACATTTTCATAAAGCTATGTAGGACATTGAGATGGAACTCTGGCTCTGGTGAGAGAACATCTAAAAACAGAATACTGACCCAAGGCAGTTTCCCCCAAACCTTCCAGCACTTTGAAGTGTCACCATCCACCTGTGAAAAACAGAAGAGCTGGGTCAGTGCCTCTGTCCATCCATGCATTTCTTCTTTGACTTTGAACTCAAAAAGGGTACGGGTGTGTCTGAAATCTTCAGTTTCCAGCCTCATCAAATCCTTCCTGAATCTGTTGTTTCCACATCCGTCATTCCTTTGAACCTGCCTTCCCTTCCTCTGCTTCTTTCTCTCCCTCTTCCTTCCCTGTGACAGATCTTGCTATGTAGGTCAGGCTGGCCTCAAACTTGAAATCCATCTTCCCAAATGCTAGGATGACTGCCATGTGTCCCAGGCCCAACTCAGAACTTGTCTTGCTACTGTTCTCTTCACTGTTGTGTGACAGAGCTTTCTGAAGAGCCTTTCTTTTTTTTTTTTTTTTTTTGGTTTTTCGAGACAGGGTTTCTCTGTTTAGCTTTGCGCCTTTCCTGGAACTCACTTGGTAGCCCAGGCTGGCCTCGAACTCACAGAGATCCGCCTGGCTCTGCCTCCCGAGTGCTGGGATTAAAGGCGTGCGCCACCAACGCCCGGCATGAAGAGCCTTTCTTAAGCCTTATACCAAGCAAGGAAGGAAGTCCAGGATTTCTCAGCATCTATATCTATATCTATATCTATATCTATATCTATATCTATATCTATATCTATATCTATATCTATATCTATATCTATATCTATATCTATAGATATATATACATATATATATTATATATAGATATGCATGTCTATATATACAAAGAAAGGAAAAATTGTTTCAACTGGGAGATAAACACAAATCAAAGTGTTTTTTACTTATTTCTCAAAATGAGCTCTGATTATTGATGTTTCCTTTTCAAGCAGGTGGCCTAGAAGAATCAGCAGTGACAGGAATCGTGGTGGGGGCCCTGCTGGGTGCTGGCTTGCTAATGGCCTTCTACTTTTTCAGGTAGGGACCATTCATGAAGCTCAAATTCACTCTGCCTTTTTTTTTTTTGCCTTCATTTCCTGTCTTTGCATAATGCTACCTGTGATTTGCCCACACCTTTTTTTTTTTCAAAGAAGAAGGATGGTGGTTAAAATATCAAAGCCATTCTTTGGTGCCATCTTGGGTCAGGTGGTCATCCTGGGTTAAGGATTTCTATTGTCCTCTCACTACCATGGGCCAGAGAGTTGCTGGGATCTCCGACCACACATATGTTCATGAGAATCCCTTCTACCTACTAAATGTGAATGCAAAGAGGAAATCTGGACAAAGAATGAACCTATATCCTCTGACTTCCTTCAGTTCAGAAATAAGTGGCCATAGTCACCTCGAAGGGCTGGAGGGAGCTCCCAGTGGGCTCTGATCCAGGCGGCAATGTGTTCTGTGTTTGGAGAAGTCACGTGCTCAGCTGTGGTGTCTCAGCCTCGAGGCTCGTAAACTGGTAATATGTACATGTGTTCAAGGTTTTGGTCGTTTGCTGCAGTGGTGGTGGTCCATTCTTTTGTAATCTTTGGTCAGATTCATGTCTTGTTTGTAAGGTTTCTTCATTTTCACATGGAGATGTAAGTCTGGGTGTGTGCGGCTCTCTGTGGGAACAATCGTATTCCTGTTCCTTTGGTCACAGTACACTTGATCTGATCTTTATCTGAGGGCATATCCTGGGAGTCAAGTCCAGCTTCAGGGGCAGAATAGATAAGACTGAACCCACAGGCTCCGGGGAAGAAGAGGAAGGCTTGTTCTCCCGAATTTTGGAAAGCATGCCAATTTTCCTCCCTGAATAAAGGACACGATGCCTCGGGGCACACTTCTTTAATCTCTGACTAGGGCTTCATGTTGTGTCACTTCCAATTCATCAAACCTAACCCAGATGTCCCTGGAAGGCATTCTTTGTGAGAGGAACCATAGTATTTTATTGTCAAGTGAGGTTTTATTATTGCATTTTTTTTTTTCTGCTTTTACCCAGGAAGAAATACAGAATAACCATTGAGAGGCGAAATCAGCAAGAAGAAAGGAATATCGGGAAACATCGAGAGTTACGTGAAGATTCCATCAGATCTCATTTTTCGGTGGCTTAAAAGAACCCACCCCGTTTTGTCCGCTTGAGAGATAGATGGAAGGACAGACATCAGTGGAACAGAAAGGGCCTGCATGGAGAACTCTTTGTTTTAAGCAGTAGTCATTTCACTTTAAATTTCCTTTAGAAGCTCAGGAATGATTATTAATCACTATCTGTCTCCCGGCCTTCCATCTCACGGCAACCAAGAATAAGGCTAGAACGCCATTCTATTAGGTGTTCTGACTGCTGCAAGGGCATAGGATTAGATTTATGTTTTGAAAATCTGGTGTCTCCATATCTTGATGGCTTTGGGGGGCCTTTCACACGAGGATATAAAAATGTGGTTTTTCTGAAATGAAATGTTTTGTAGCTAGAATAAAACACTTTTTACGAGTAGAATATTCTTGGAAAGAATTTAACACCCAATAGAGGACAATGGAATGGAAAAAATCTCAAGGCTGCGAATGCAGGGCTCCCCTCTCTGGAGCCAGCGGACAGGTTTGTGGTAGACAAGGGCTGCGTCTAATGTCCACATTCAGGTCTGACTTCATATCTCCAGAAAGGATCCTCCCTGTCTCTTTCAGTGTCTCAGAAAAGCTACTCTGGAAAATTGTAAATATTAGTGAGCTAGGAGGATTTATACAAGAAAAGCAAGTCTAAAATGTTTCTTTTATGATGTAAAAAGAAAAGCCCTACTTCACACTAACATTTTATTTTTAAGTATTTTAATCTTATATTTTGGTATTAGAAATGTGTCTATTTTTTCATTTTTGAAGATTAAATTTCACTTATATTTTAAAAGCACGGAGAAAGTGTGTGAGAAATCCATGGTGGCAATGGGGGTGGCCTCTCTTTCTCTACTGTCCTCTTCCCCTTGGCTGTGGCCAAATACTAACTGCTCACTGCTGCTGTGACTGCAGACATCTAGACACAAGTTGAGCTTAGAAACTCTAAAGGCATACGTTGATGGTAAGCCATGTTTCATTTTTAATTGTTTTAAATGCTGGAGGGCTCCATCCCTTCCAATTATGGCCAAATGATGCACTTCAAAACCGAGAGAGGGAAGTCAGTAGAGTTAAGCAGAGGTTACACAGATACACAAACCTTTCCCTCCAGAGCAAACTGAGGATGAGGATTTGACAGTGAGGCACAGGAATGATAAATTCAAAGGAGTGTGATTTATGAAAATGTAGTTAAAAGAGGGAATGTTGAGATCTGCTGTGACCCCTGAGCTCCACGGAGGTTTACAGCCTCCAAGAATCACCCACAGTGCGTTAAGTGTATCCTGGGTAGGACTGAGCCATCTTTTGCTGGGTATCCGATTTGCACTCAGTTCTGTGCACTGACTAAGGTTTAAATTCGGGTTCTCACTTTATCATTTGAGGAGAGAACAAGGGCACCATCTTATAATCATGCCTTTCTTAAAGGGGGAGAAATAGCATCATTCCTTGGAGGCCATGTTCACTCAGGTTCACTCAAGAGGAAAGCCGAGTGAAAGTGCAGGAAGCTGTCTCATGCTTGCTTCTCCGGGAAGGACTGTTGCGCATCTGATTGCATCTCTCTCGAGTCAAAGTGAATGGGCCGTTTCTGGGCGAGGTGCGCTTCTTCTTCATGGTTCAGGAAATGGGATGCAAACCATCTGATAAAAGAATTTGCTGTGAACATCAGGAGCAGCTACATGGTGGTTCTGCATTTGGGGATGTAAAGTGTTGACTTCAAAAAGAGCCAAGAAAAGTAGGCAAGAAATGTAAATTTCAAAATCCTAATGCAGGAGGAGAGTTTGGGAAGTAGGGCTCAGGAAAGCAATTGGCAGATGGTGGGGGACTCACATGACGAGAACAGTGTGGACAGATTGCAACCGCTTCAGTTATCCGAACCAGAGAGCTATTTTCTCTTTTACCTTTTCAATGATCGTTTCCAACTATTTCAGAGATATTCATTTTCTAATGTTTATTTTTTGAACCTCTGTGTTAATTATAGGAGGGTGGTGTTGGGGAAAGTCCTCTACCTAGCTATACTCTTTGGTGTAAATATTTCTAACCTTCCTTGAATTTATATGGTGGCCCAATTAATGGCAGCATTATTCCAGCAAATGTCTTTTATTTCTACTTCAGCTAGGGGAATTTTTCCAAGTTTAATAGCATACCCCCAGGTAAGATGTGAACGATGAGAAGGGAGTTAACCTTTTAAAAAAGGCAGGGTGACTTATGACATCTCTAGAATATGGAGTCATTTCCTGTAATTTTAAAGCAATTCTACTATTATTAAGGTCATTTACAGGTCCACTGTGTAGTTTTTCCCTCTTAAACATCTTTACATGGCTAGGCAAGGTGTCTTTAATCCTGGTACTTTGAAGGCAGAATAGGTAGATTTTTGTGAGTTTAGGGCCAGCATGGTCTACATAGTGAGTTTCAGGTCAGCTGTGTTTACATGGTAAGACCCTGTCTCAGAAGAAAATAAATCTTCATATGAGTTTCCCAAGCTACATTAAGTTTTGAAAATGCCACTAAGCTAGTAAACCTTTGCTGAGAATATAGATGTCAGTTCTGTGGTGGCCCTGGGTTAAGAACTCTTAGTATTGTATTGTGGAACTTAAATTCCTAACTGCGAAGAAGTAATCTGCCAGCAGCCAACTATTATATAATAAACTAAGTGAGACTTTAGATCTTAAGCCAGTCTATACATTTTTACTCTTAAATCCAATGATTAAGATTTCAAAGGGGATATTTTATGAGTATTTTTCTCATCTCGTCAAATATAAGTTCATACACAGGTTAAAATATATAGTTATGGTGTTGGAAATAAACACAAATTTTATAGCCAGTAGGTTTGGAAGAGAAGATAAACTCAGAAATAAAACTTTCTGTGTGGAGACATGTCTCCACCCCAACAGAGGTTTTAGAAGGAATCCCTTCATCCCTTCAATGTTATATTGCTCTTAAGAGTCACTGGTGTGTCTTTTCCTGAAACACAGATATAGTTCTACAGGCCTTAAAATAGTTCTTTACATCTCAGAACTCATGGGAGAGAGGAAGAATCCCATTCCCATGGAATGAGAGCAGATTCCCCCCCCCCCCCCCGCCGTTGTTTCTCTCTCCCGTGAATGAAAAGTGTTGGAATGCCAAGTCACTTCCCCCTGCTCCCAGGCTTCCTGTGCCTTTGCAGATGGCACATGCATCCTTCCTGTCCCTAACTTTCCTCTTTTCTTCTGATTGGAACTGATTGTAGGGATCTATGACAGGCAGTGGGAAGTGAAAAGGGAGGCCTTGTGTATCTCAGACGTACAGTGAGTGGGTTCAGAAGCTGTTTCCAATGACACCATTGCTTTCTCAAAGCTGAGCTACTTGTGCAGTTCTTACACACACACACACACACACACACACACACACACACACACACACACACGAAAGAAAAGGAAAGAATAGTGTTTATAAATTGGAAAATACTAGTGCCCATGTTCTTGAGACACAAAGAACTTGGATCCCTAGTGGATGTGGCTAGGAAAACAAATGTCAGTTGAAATTTGGCCCCTCTACCTACAGATCATAGGTTTGGTTTAGTTACACCCTGTGGTTCCGGACTTCAGAAGGAAGCTGGTAATGAACTGAATTTCTCACTTAGTGGAAAAAAAGGAAACTGTCTAGAAACACAGGATGCTTTAGGGACAGCATAGAAACAGAATGAGTTGGTGGCAGCGGAGGGACCGGTCTCTCTTTGAATTGGTCTTTAGAACTGAAGAATAATGAATAGTTTAGACCTTCTGCAATAGCCAGTCTCAACAAGAAGCTTTGGACATGCCCAGTGAGAAGAGTCAGGAGCTTATTTCTGCCAAGGCAACAGAGGAGAACTTCGCGGCTGACACTGTCTCCACTGCTTTTCTTCCCAGAGCCCCACCTACCATCCATCATGGCTCCTTAGATGTGTCAGCATCCTTCTCATGCAGGTGGGAACTTGTGAGGAGGCCTCCACACTTACTCAGAGAAAAAGACAAAATAGCACTGGCCGTGAGGAGGTAGCTGGCTTCTAATCAGAAATCTTACAGTACCCTGGCCAGTTCAAGTCTGTGCTTTTCCTGCACACTAATGAGCCTGGCTTTGGTTCTCATTGTACAGATTTTTCAAATGTCTCCTGCAGGCCGATGGGATGAAGGTAACTCTCAAAAGGTGCTGGGTTGGAGGTTGTTCAAATCTCTCATTAATCACTCATGGAAATTCATACCAAACTCAGAGCATTCTGAAACAGCTGATGTTGGTGTTTATGTTTTAAGTCAAACACAATGAAAAGGATTTCAATGAGAGCTGAATCTCAGGGGTTAAAAAAATCCATATGTTACAAAAACTCTTTGGTGTATCAGGTATGAGATGATTCTTTGTGGAGAGATTTGAACAAGTAGACCTCAGAGTTAGTGAAAAAAAAGTTACATTTCTTTGATTCATATTTAAAGGCATAAATTTATATGCACAGGAACAAAGGGTCCATTTACCAAGCATGAATCACAACAGGCTACCAAATTCATTTTTATTTTCTAGAACAAAGCTGTCACAGTATATAATTATTATTGGGTAGAGAAGGAGTTATTTCTGCAAAGAAAGAAGAAAATGTGGATTTTGACATGGAGTATCTTGTTCATGATTCAGTGCCTGCGTCTGAAAATGTTATGGCATATAAGTCAGCAATGATGTGCCCGCAACAGGCCCGAGGTGCTGTGGCTCTAAGAATTAGAGCTTTGTTCCCTGGGCATAGCTGAAAGCAGGGGGCCATGAGCTAGGCATTGCAGAGGGCCAGTCCTGGAGCCAGTGTCTTTTGAGCCATATTGTTCATGGTTAATGTAAACCCAGGACCACCAAACAATACAAACCTACCATGAATTTGGTAGGAAGGTCAAAGCTGCACTAACTACATACAGCTTACTATTCTAATGTAAGTAGAACTATCTGCATATAATGTGATTTAATTTATTGTCATTTTGTGTAGAAAGCGATTAATGACTGTGGATATAGCCCTGTTTTGTATAATATATTTTATTTCTGGTGCAAAACTGGTCATTTAAACAATCTACTTCATTTGGTGTTTGGATATAAATTTGTATGTGTTCTTGTAAACGTTTATATTAAGCAAGAATAGCATATATTCCAAATATAACAATATGTTCTCATTAAAAATAAACTCTACAGAAACAGTTGCCTGTTTATAATTCGACTAACATATATTGCATATATCCAAGTTTTCTGAGAATTTTCTATTGTCTTGAATAAGCTGAAGTAAAAGACCAATTAGTAGGTATCATGGATTATAAAGTCTGAATGACATTCATGAAAGGACTCAAGAATTTCTGCCCCACAAAAGGAAACTCCCAGAGATAATACAGCATCAGAATGAGTGCCAAGCCCTGAGTATGTAGACTGAGCAGGTGCAGGAAGAAGGCATCATGGAGAACAACCACTCTTTTTAAACCTGTGCATCTAGAGACACCATGTGCTCCAACGGATGTCACTGACTCATGTGATTGTGCCCATCACCCACATGACAGAGACCTTCAGTGCTATTGTCCAAAGGGCTCTTAGGCTCCTGTGTACCAGGCAGAGTGACCAGCAGAGTGACCAGTCTTCAGTGTCTCTAGCTTCATCTGGGCTGAAAAAAAGGCGCTCTCTCTCTCTCTCTCTCTCTCTCTCTCTCTC